AGGGATTTCTGTGAAAATAACTGATATTTTAGGGTTAAAAACAGGGATTTCTATGAAAATAAGCGATATTTTAGGTGAAAAACAGGGATTTTCATGAAAATAAGGGATATTTTAGGTTAAAAGCAGGCATTTCCATGAAAATAAGCGATATTTTAGTGTTAAAAACAGGGATTTCCATGAAAAAAAAAGATATTTTAGGGTTAAAAACAGGGATTTCTGTGAAAATAAGCAATATTTTAGGGTTAAAAACAGGGATTTCTATGAAAATAAGCGATATTTTAGGGTTAAAAACGGGGAATTCCATGAATATAAGGGGTATTTTAGGGGAAAAACAGGGATTTCTATGAAAATAAGCGATATTTTAGGGTTAAAAACAGGGATTTCTATGAAAATAAGCGATATTTTAGGGTTAAAAACAGGGATTTCTGTGAAAATAAGCAATATTTTAGGGGAAAAACAGGGATTTCCATGAAAATAAGGGATATTTTAGGGTTAAAAACGGGGAATTCCATGAATATAAGGGGTATTTTAGGGGAAAAACAGGGATTTCTATGAAAATAAGCGATATTTTTGGGGAAAAACAGGGATTTCTGTGAAAATAAGGGATATTTTAGGGTTAAAAACCGGGATTTCCATGAAAATAAGGGATATTTTAGGTTAAAAACAGGCATTTCCATTAAAATAAGCGATATTTTAGGGGAAAAACGGATTTCTATGAAAATAAGTGATATTTTAGGGTTAGAAACAGGGATTTCTATGAGAATAAGCGATATTTTAGGGTTAAAACAGGGATTTCTGTGAAAAAATAAGGGATATTTTAGGTTAAAAACAGGGATTTCCATGAAAATAAGCGATATTTTAGGGGAAAAACAGGGATTTCTATGAAAATAAGGGATATTTTAGGGTTAGAAACAGGGATTTCTGTGAAAATAAGGGATATTTTAGGGTTAAAAACAGGGATTTCCAAGTGAAAATAAGCGATATTTTAAGTTAAAAACAGGGATTTCTATGAAAATAAGCGATATTTTAGGGGAAAAACAGGGATTTCTATGAAAATAAGGGATATTTTAGGGTTAGAAACAGGGATTTCTGTGAAAATAAGGGATATTTTAGACGAAAAACAGGGATTTAAGTGAAAATAAGCGATATTGAAGGGGAAAATCAGGGATTTCTATGAAAATAAGCGATATTTTAAGGGGAAAAACAGGGATTTCTATGAAAATAAGCGATATTTTAGAGGAAAAACAGGGATTTCTATGAAAATAACTGATATTTTAGGGTTAAAAACAGGGATTTCTATGAAAATAAGGGATATTTTAGGTTAAAAGCAGGCATTTCCATTAAAATAAGCGATATTTTAGGGGAAAAACAGGGATTTCTATGAAAATAAGCGATATTTTAGTGTTAAAAACAGGGATTTCTATGAAAATAAGGGATATTTTAATGGTTAAAAACAGGGATTTCCATGAAAATAAGTGATATTTTAGGTTAAAAACAGGGATTTCTATGAAAATAAGGGATATTTTAGGGGAAAAACAGGGATTCTATGAAAATAAGCGATATTTTAGGGGAAAAACAGGGATTTCTATGAAAATAAGGGATATTTTAGCGTTAAAAACAGGGATTTCTGTGAATATAATGCGATATTTTAGGGTTAAAAACAGGGATTTCTATGAAAATAAGGGATATTTTAGGTTAAAAACAGGGATTTCCATGAAAATAAGCGATATTTTAGGGTTAAAAACAGGGATTTCTATGAAAATAAGCGATATTTTAGGGGAAAAACAGGGATTTCTATGAAAATAAGCGATATTTTAGGGGAAAAACAGGGATTTCTGTGAAAATAAGCGATATTTTAGGTTAAAAACAGGGATTTCCATGGAAAATAAGCGATATTTTAGGGTTAAAAACCGGGATTTCCATGAAAATAAGCGATATTTTAGGGGAAAAACAGGGATTTCCATGAAAATAAGCGATATTTTAGGGGAAAAACAGGGATTTCTATGAAAATAAAGCGATATTTTAGGGTTAAAAACAGGGATTTCTATGAAAATAAGCGATATTTTAGGGTTAAAAACAGGGATTTCCATGAAAATAAGGCGATATTTTAGGTTAAAAACAGGGATTTCTGTGAAAATAAGCGATATTTTAGGGAAAAACAGGGATTTCTGTGAAAATAAGCGATATTTTAGGGGAAAAACAGGGATTTCTGTGAAAATAAGCGATATTTTAGGGGAAAAACAGGGATTTCTGTGAAAATAAGCGATATTTTAGGGGAAAAACAGGGATTTCTGTGAAAATAAGCGATATTTTAAGGGAAAAACAGGGATTTCTGTGAAAATAAGCGATATTTTAGGGGAAAAACAGGGATTTCTGTGAAAATAAGCGATATTTTAGGGGAAAAACAGGGATTTCTGTGAAAATAAGCGATATTTTAGGGGAAAAACAGGGATTTCTATGAAAATAAGCGATATTAAAGGGGAAAAACAGGGATTTCTATGAAAATAAGCGATATTTCAGGGGAAAAACAGGGATTTCTATGAAAATAAGCGATATTAAAGGGGAAAAACAGGGATTTCTATGAAAATAAGCGATATTTTAGGGGAAAAACAGGGATTTCTGTGAAAATAAGCGATATTTAGGGGAAAAACAGGGATTTCTGTGAAAATAAGCGATATTTGAGGGAAAAACAGGGATTTCTATGAAAATAAGCGATTTGAGGGAAAAACAGGGATTTCTGTGAAAATAAGCGATATTTAGGGGAAAAACAGGGATTTCTATGAAAATAAGCCATATTTAGGGGAAAAACAGGGATTTCTATGAAAATAAGCGATATTTAATGGGGAAAACAGTGATTTATGTGAAAATAAGCGATGTATTAGGTTAGAAACTGGGTTTTCTATGAAAATAAGTGATGTTTGAGGTTAAAAACAAGGATTTCTATGAAAATGAGCGATATTTCAGGGGAAAAACAGGGATTTCCGTGAGAATAAGGGATATTTTAGGGTTAAAAACAGGGATTTCCATGAAAAAGTGCGATATTTTAGGGTTAAAAACAGGGATTTCTGTGAAAATAAGGGATATTTTAGGGGAAAAATGGGGATTTCTATGAAAATAAGGGATATTTTAGGGGAAAAACAGGGATTTCTGTGAAAATAAGCGATATTTTAGGAGAAAACCACGGATGTCTGTGAAAATAAGTGATATTTTAAGAGAAAATCAGGGATTTCTATGAAAATAAGCGATATTTTAGGGGAAAAAAAGGGATTTCTATGAAAATAAGCGATATTTTAGGGGAAAAACAGGGATTTCTGTGAAAATAAGCGATATTTTAGGGTTAAGAACAGGGATTTCTGTGAAAATAAGGGATATTTTAGGGTTAAAAACAGGGATTTCTGTGAAAATAAGCGATATTTTACGGTTAAGAACAGGGATTTCTGTGAAAATAAGTGATATTTTGGGGTTAAAAACAGGGATTTCTGTGAAAATAAGGGATATTTTAGGGTTAAAAACGGGGATTTCTATGAAAATAAGGGATATGTTAGGGGAAAAACAGGGATTTCCATGAAAATAAGCAATATTTTAGGGGAAAAACGGGGATTTCTATGAAAATAAGGCGATATTTTAGGGGAAAAACAGGGATTTCTATGAAAATAAGGGATATTTTAGGGGAAAAACGGGGAATTCCGTGAATATAAGGGGTATTTTAGGGGAAGAACAGGGATTTCTGTGAAAATAAGCGATATTTTAGGGTTAATAAAAAAGGGTTTTCTGTGAAAATAAGGGATATTTTGGGGTGAAAAACAGGGATTTCGATGAAAATAAGCAATATTGAAAGGGAACAACAGGGATTTCTGTGAAAATAAGCGATATTTTATGGTTAAAAACAGGGATTTCTGTGAAAATAAGCGATATTTTAGGGGAAAAACAGGGATTTCATGGAAAATAAGGGATATTTTAGGGGAAAGCCAGGGATTTCTGTGAAAATATGCGATGTTTTAGGGGAAAAACAGGGGTTTGTATGAAAATAAGCGATATTTCAGGGGAAAAACAGGGATTTCTGTGAAAGTAAGCGATATTTAAGGAGAAAAACTGGGATTTCTATGAAATAGAAATCCCCCTTACCATTAATTACCTACTGTAATCCTGCAGCATGATGGAAAACGCAACAACAGTAGCAGAGAATCAAAGTCCCAGGCTGTAGTAAGTCAGGATGTGCTCAAACACAGCAGCCGTAAACACAGCAACAGAACAAAAACCTGCTTACCTTTCGAAGACCTCATGCAAGCACAGACCTCCAGCCAAAACCCCCTCCCTTCTGATGCCAGTGCTTAAATGAGACCCGGAAGTGGGTGGAGCCTGGCTCCGCCCCCTTCCATCACTCAGGTGCGTTTCATGCACCTGAGCTTCTATGGTTTGTCCCTTCTCAATCATTGTTTCAAGCCACGACTTCGGGTTTCCGCTACCCCCCCCAACAGTATCGCTCCAACATCACTCCCTGATGTCCCCCCATGATGCTCCAACATCAGTCCCCAGCATCACTCCCCAGCATCACCCCCCACATCATCCCAGGGTCAGCTCAGTGTTACCCTCAGTGTCACTCTATCAGTACTGAAATTTGTGCTCCCCTATCTATTAGCAATTTTACCCAATGCCTTTGAGGACAGACTTCAATCAAAATCCGCGTGCCATTGTCGCTCATCCTTTGATCAAACTCCCCTTGCCGGACAGGCAGACCCAATCACCTGCTTGTAATCAGTCTTTTGTTGTTGTTTACAGCCTGAAGCAGTGATGGAGCACCTGGTGAGGGGTGTGGGCAGCCCTGCCAGCACAGGTGGAAGCAATTTGCCTGTGGGACCGGATAGGGCTGAGCTTGGCTCCACCCCCTCCCTGCCCATATTTAAGGGCTGGGAACAGCCAGGGCAGCATTCAGCTTGGGATCTGCCTCCATGGGAGCATTGGGAGCCAGTTCTGCTCGTTGGAATGGGGTGAGTGACTGATGCTTTGTTGCAGGGCTCTGGTCTTTCTGGTTTTGGGGATCCTGACTGCTTTTAAGGGCTGGAAGCTGTAAGGGCAGCATCTCTGTATGGAGGCTGCTTCCTTTGGGGTGTGGGCTGAGTGTTTGTTTTTGGGATGGGGTCATTGATTTCTTATGTATTGCTGGATTGTAATTTCACTTTCTGGGGGCTGCTGACCACATTTAAGGTCTGTCAGCAGAAGGAGCAGCAACTGCACCTGGAGGCTGCTTCCTTCAGAGCGTGGGGTGAACCCTTGAAACGGGGTGAGTGAGTCTTTATTCCAGGGTTGCAACATCTTGTTTTTTGGGGGATCCTGCCCCCACTTAAGGGCTGGCAGCCTTTAAGGTGGTATCTGTCTTTAGAGACTGTCTCTTTGGGAGCGTGGGGTGAGGGCCGGTCCTTGAGAAAGGATGAGTGATTCCTTCTTGTTTTAGGGCTGTGATCTTTCCTGTTTTTGGGGCATCCTGACCACATTTGAGTGCTGGCAGATGTAAGGGCAGCGTTGATCTCTGGAGGCTGTCTCCTGTGGAGCATGGGTGAGTTTTGGCCTTTGAGAAGGGTGTAAGTGGTTTCTTTGTTTTTTCTTTATTTCAGGCTGCAATCTCCATTTTTTCTTTTCTTTTTTTATTATTATAATTTAGTATCCTGACCCCATTTAAGGGGTGGAAGCCATAAGGGCAGCATCTCTACCTGGAGACTGCTTCCCTGGCAGCGTGGGCTGAGTGTTCATCTTTGGAATGGAGTAACTTCTTCTTCCTTTATTTCAGGGCTGTTATGCACTGCTTCCAACCGTGCAGAGTTGTTTGAGGGCATTCTGTGCACCCTTAGGTGTAATAAGTCTTCATCTTTATAGGAAGCCAAGGTTTGTCCTCTTCTGGACCGCTGTACTCAGCATCACCCCAGATATCTCCATCCTAATTGTCTGGAGATGCTGTTAGTTTCCTAATCTGTATGACACCCAAACCCCAATTCCTCTTCCTCCCACCCCCTGACCCGCATTCAATGCTCTGCAGCTCTGGTTCCCAACAGTGTGATGAAGTGAAGCCCCTGCTCTGCTGAATACTGGGACTGGCCCAGAGAGGCTCTGATGGATGTGGATTATCCCAGCTGGAGTACTTGGTACTATTGGTGGTGATCTCATCCAACTGCCACACAACGAACAGGAACATCCACAGCCAGATCAGTGCCCAGAGCCTGACCCAGCGTCACCTTGGAAGGGACAGGGCATCCATCGTGTCTGCGTAATCTGTTCTGCTGTGTCACCACCATCACTGTACAAGATTTTCTTCATATCTAGGCTAAATCTTTCCTTGTTCTTCCCTTCAGGTGTTGAAAGGCTGTTACCAGATCACCTCGGAGCCTTCACTTCTGCAGGCTGAACAGCTCCAGCTCTCTGTCTTTATAGGAAAGGCATTCCATCCCTCGGTTCATGTTTGTGGCCATTCTCTGGATGTGCTCCAACAGCTCCACGTCTGTCCTGCACTGTAGGCATCCACATCCACACACAGCACCTGCAGGTGAGGCCTCCCAGCGCAGAGCAGAGGGGCAGGACCGCCTCCCTTCGCCTGCTGACCGCACATCTTTGGAGCCCAGCATACGGTTGGCTTTCTGGGCTGGAAGGCGCGTTGCTGAGTGCCACTACTCAGCCTGTTGAGGTCCCTCTGGATGGCATCCCGTCCCTCTGGTGTGTCACCGCACCCCACAGCTTGGTGTCGTTAGGGTGCACTCCACCCTACTGTCAATGTCGCTGATGAAGGGGCAATCCCAGATGTTTGTGCAAACTCAGCAAAGAACACCTTGAGAGCAGCTCCACAGAGAAGGACTTGCAGATCCTGGTGGGTGAGAAGCTGGACGTCAGCCAGCAGAGCGGGCTTGCAGCCTGGAAGGCCAGCTGTGTTCTGGGCTGCATTAAAAGAGGAGCGGCCAGCAGGGAGAGGGAGGTGATCGTCCCCATCTGCTCTGCTCTTGTGAGGCCCCATCTGCAGCGCTGCATCCAGGCCTGGGGCCCCCAGCACAGGAAGGACGTGGAGCTCACGGAGCGGGTCCAGAGGAGGCACTGAGATGATCAGATGGTTGGAGCAGCTCTCCTACAAGGAAAGGTTGAGGGAAGTGGGCTTGTTGAGACTGGAGAAGAGAAGGCTTGGGGGGGACCTGATTGCAGCCTCACAGTACTTGAAGGGGGGAACAGCAGGAAGGGGAATGGCTGTTTACGAGGGTGGATTGTGATAGGACAAGGGGGAATGGTTTTAAACTGAGACAGGGGAGGTTTACGTTGGTTATTAGGAGGAAGCTTTTCATACAGAGGGTGTTGACGCACTGGAACGTGCCTCAGAGTCCTTTCCAGGAGGATCTGCTCCATGACTTTTTGCAGCACAGAGGTGAGACTGACATGTTGGCAGTTCCCAGGGTCACACTTTATATCTGCAGTAACAGCTGTGCTGTCACCTTTTTTCTGCTCACCAGGGACTTCACCTGACTGCCTCGACTTCTCAAATACCACTGAGAGTGGCTCGGTGACTGCAGCACTGAATTCCCTCAGAGCTCTGGGACTCGTCTCATCAGGACCCAAAGACTCCTGGATGCTCGGGTCCTCAGGTTGTCCAGAACCTGATCTCTCATCACAGTGTGGGATAGGGAGGGGTCTATGGGACCAGCATTGCTTCCTCAATCCCCACCTACCAAACCAAAGGTGAGGGCGGTGTATAATGAGCAGTTATCAGAGAAGATGGAAGATGGATGTTGTTGGGTACCTCAGCCTTCTCCTTGTCTGTTGTTCCCAGCTCAGTGCTGCTGGTAAGCAGCATCGTGTGCAGAGCGCAGCCACGTTGATCAGAGAAAGGAGTGCAGGTTTGTGAAAGAGGCACATCTGCAGGGCAGTGCCTTCATTACTGCGTTGTGTCCCACAGGTGGCAGCAGACTGCGGCACTCCCGAGTGCCGTAACGACCGCATGGAGATGCGTGGCTCTTCAGGCAGCAGCAAGGAACCGGAATCTGCATTTCCTGGGATGCCCGGAACTCCGCTTTGCTGGCTGGTAATTGTCTGCCCAGCAGGTAAGGGCAATGCACACCCACCAGTGTTTACCCATTCCCTAGCATGGCACAGCACGGTGCTCCCAGAGCTCTTCATTGCACTTCGTGGTGCCCTGGATGCTGCCTGTCCTTTTCTTTCTGTGTTCTCCTTGTCTCTGGCCTTTCACTGCAGCGTTTTCATTCCCTTTGCCCTTGCTGTTCCCTACTCCATTCTCTTGCCCTCCTGTTTTTGTGTTCCATGCCACGTTCTCTTGGCCGCTGCCCTTGGCTTTCTTTGCCGCATTCACTTCAGCATTCAGTTTTGGCGTTCCGTGCCGCGTTCTCTCGCCCTCCTGTTCTGGCATTTCCTTCCATGTTCTCTTAGCCGTTGCCATTGGTTGGGCATCCTCTTGTCCTCCTGTTTTTGTGTTCCATGCTGGGTTCTCTTGGCCGTTGCCCTTGGCTTTCTTTGCCATATTCACTTCAGCATTCAGTTTTGGCGTTCCCTGCTGCGTTCTCCTGCCCTCCTGTTTTGGCGTTTCTTGCCGTGTTCTCTTGGCCATCATCCTTGGCATTTCCTTCCACGTTCTCTTGGCCCTTGCCCTTGTCTGGGCATTCCCTTGCCCCCCTGTTATTGTGTCCCATGCTATGTTCTCTTGGCCATTGCCCTTGGCTTTCTGTAGCCACATTCTCTTCACCATTTGATTTTGGCGTTCCCGGCAGCGTTCTCTTGCCCTCCTGTTCTGGCACTTCCTGCCATGTTTTCTTAGCCCTTTCCTGGGCATTCCATGCCGTGCTCCCTCAGCCTTCTGTTTTGGCATTTTGTGCTGCGTTCTTTTGGCCGTTGCCCTTGGCCTTTCCTGCTGCGGTCTCTTTGGCTGTATATTTTGGCCTTTCCTGTTGCGTTCTCTTTGCCCTCCCCTTGGCTTTCCATTGGTGCTCTCTTTGCTTTTGCCCTTGCCTTAGCTTGGCTGTTTGCTTTGCATTTACCTTGGCTTTCCACGGGAGTTCTGCTTTCCTTTGCCTTTGGCACTCTGGGATTAGCTGCGAGGATACATTAACATTAACATTAACCTGAACCCACAGCTGAATGGGAGTTCTAACGATAACTTTGTTAACCTGCAGCGTATCTGTAGACCAAACCCTTAACCCAGTGTTGAAAATGTCTCTTACCCTGAATGCTGCTGTAAAAATAATGCCCCATGTTTTGTCAAATAACCCTAATTGTAGTGCAGAATACTGATGTTAGACCATCTGTAACTTCAACCCTATCAATACCATTAATTCTATCCCTAACGTTAATTATAATTAATTACAACCCTTGTGTCATCATTACAGCATTGTGCTCAGGGTGCAGCCCCACACATGCGGGGCAGCGCCTTCATTACTGCGTTGTGTCCCACAGGTGGCAGCAGAGTTGCGTTGCTCCTGAGCGCTGTAAGGACAGCACGGAGATGCGCGGCTCTTCAGGCAGCAGCAAGGAACCGGAATCTGCATTTCCTGGGATGCCCGGAACCCCGCTTTGCTGGCCGGTAATTGTCTGCCCAGCAGGTAAGGGCGATGCTCACCCACCGGTGTTTACTCATTACTTAGCGAGGCACAAGGTAGGGTTCACAGAGCTCATTTCTGCACTTCACGGTGCCCTGGATGCTGCCTGTCCTTTTCTTTCTGTGTTCTCCTCGCCTCCAGCCTTTCCCTGCTGCGTTCTCTTGCCCTCCTGTTTTGGCGTTCCCTGTGGCATTCTCTTGGCCGTTTGCCCTTGGCCACCTTCACTGCGTTTTCTTTGGCCTTCGGCTTTGGCCATCTGTGCCACATTCCCTTGGCCTTTGTCCTTGGCCTTCTTTGCCACGTTCACTTTCCCTCCCGTTCTGGCGTTCCCTACAGCATTATTTTGGCCTTCAGTTCTGGCGTTCCTGGCTGCGTTCTCTTTGGCCGTTGCCCTCGGCCTTCTTTGCCCCATTCCCTTTGGCCTCCTGTTCTGGCGTTCCCTGCGGCGTTCTCTTTGGCTTCTATTTTGGCGTTCCCTTCCATGTTCTTTTTGGCCATTGCTCCTGGCCTTCTTTGCCCATTCCCTTTGGCCTCTTGTTTTGTCTTCTCCTACAGCATTCTCTTTGCCTTTGGTTTTGGCCTTTTGTGCCGCATTCTCTTTGGCCATTGCCCTTGACCTTCTGCATCGGCCTTCCCTGCAGCGTTCTCACGGACCTCGCCCTCCATTTTGGCCTTCTGCGTTGATCTCTTTGGTCTCCATTCTGGCGTTCTCTGCGGCCTTCTCCTTGGGCCTGACCTCTGACGCGACCTTTGGCGTTCTCCATGTCTTTCCCATCCCTTTGCCCTCTGTTTTGGCGTTCCCTCGGCTGTTCTCCTTGCCTTTTGCTCCTGCCTTTGCCTTGGCCTTCCCTAACGGTCACTCTAACCCTAATCCTGATGTACCTAACCCTAACACCTTTCCTGTTAAATACTCCTAACCTTACTCTGAAGCCTTTTCTTCAAGCGGTGTTTGGCTTCCACATTTTGTGGGGGTGGGCTGACGGTGAGCACAGTTTGGGTCTCGGCGTTCCTCCTTCTAAAGCGTGTCTCTGTATTACAGGTGAAGATGCCTTCGACGCTTCCAGTCGATGACTTCCCCCCTGCGACGCCATTGGCTTTCCAGGCCTCCCACACTCACCGCCAGCTCGGTTCGGTCAACCGTTACCCGAATCCCCGCTCCGTTCCCTTTCCATGATCTTCCCGTCACTCTGCCACAAGCCCCTACCAAGGTCATCGCAGGCAGCGTGTGGGATGCGGCGCTCGGTCTCATTGCAGTTCATCCCATCGGCCTCAGCCCAGCGATCCAACCCACCCGCACCCTTCCTGAGGGCCCTTCTGCTCCCAGGCCAATCAACGCTTCCTTCTGATGCCATCTGCGTTCCTTCCAGGCCATTTTCAGGCTCGTGCCCCTTTGTGGCCATTTTGAGAGTTGTGCTGATTTCAGCATGTGCATTCAATTGACTTCAACCAAATTGGCTTTAGCTTGACATACAATTAATGTAAACCAAATTGGCTTTAGTTTTACATTCAATTGACTTCAACCAAATTGGCTTTAGCCTTGCATTCAATTGACTTCAACCAAATTGGCTTTAGTTTTACATTCAATTGGCTTCAACCAAATTGGCTTTAGCTTTACATTCAATTAATGTAAGCCAAATTGGCTTTAGCTTTGCCTTGGTTACGGGGTTGGGCTAGCCTTGCTTTGTTTGCTCCTAGGCAGGGCTAACCCAACCCCGTAACCAAGGGCCGTTGGAGGCAATTTTGTTCCTTCCCGGCCAGTCTGAGACTCGCGCCCCATTGCGGCCATTTTGAGAGTTGTGCTGATTTCAGCATCTGCGTTCAATTTATCTCAACCAAATTGGCTTTAGCCTTGCAATCATTTTGCATCAACCAAATTGGCTTTAGCTTTACATGCAATTGACTTCAATCCAAATTGGCTTTGGCTTTGCATTCAATTGACTTCAACCAAATTGACTTTAGCTTTGCATTCAATTGACTTCAACCAAATTTGCTTTAGCTTTACATTCAATTGGCTTCAACCAAATTGGCTTTAGCTTTACATTCGATTGACTTCATCCAAATTGGCTTTAGCTTTACATCCAATTAATGTAAGCCAAATTGGCTTTAGCTTTGCCTTGGTTACGGGGTTGGGCTAGCCTTGCTTTGTTTGCTCCTAGGCAGGGCTAACCCAACCCCGTAACCAAGGGCCGTTGGAGGCGATTTTGTTCCTTCCGGCCAGTCTGAGACTCGCGCCCCATTGCGGCCATTTTGAGAGTTGTGCTGATTTCAGCATCTGCGTTCAATTTATCTCAACCAAATTGGCTTTAGCCTTGCAATCATTTTGCATCAACCAAATTGGCTTTGGCCTTGCATTCAATTGACTTCAACCAAATTGGCTTTAGCCTTGCATTCAATTGGCTTCAACCAAATGGCTTTAGCTTTACATTCAATTAATGTAAACCAAATTGGCTTTAGCTTTACATTCAATTGACTTCAACCAAATTGGCTTTAGTTTTACATCCAATTAATGTAAGCCAAATTGGCTTTAGCTTTGCCTTGGTTACGGGGTTGGGCTAGCCTTGCTTTGTTTGCTCCTAGGCAGGGCTAACCCAACCCCGTAACCAAGGGCCGTTGGAGGCAATTTTGTTCCTTCCGGCCAGTCTGAGACTCGCGCCCCATTGCGGCCATTTTGAGAGTTGTGCTGATTTCAGCATCTGCGTTCAATTTATCTCAACCGAATTGGCTTTAGCATGTGCATTCAATTGGCTTCAACCAAATTGGCTTTAGCTTTACATTCAATTGACTTGAACCAAATTGGCTTTGGTTTTGCATTCAATTGGCTTCAACCAAATTGGCTTTAGCCTTGCATTCAATTGGCTTCAACCAAATTGGCTTTAGCTTTACATCCAATTAATGTAAGCCAAATTGGCTTTAGCTTTGCCTTGGTTACGGGGTTGGGCTAGCCTTGCTTTGTTTGCTCCTAGGCAGGGCTAACCCAACCCCGTAACCAAGGGCCGTCGGAGGCGATTTTGTTCCTTCCCGGCCAGTCTGAGACTCGCGCCCCTTTGTGGCCGTTCTGAGAATTGCAATGTCTTTGAGTGGGCTGAGATCTGCACTGCTTTTGAGGTGGTTGCACTATGCAACATTCTCACAAGTGTGGTGTCACTAATGGGGTGTGGAGGCTTTGTACCCTTTCTCTGGTTGGTCTGACATCTATGTGAACCATGTCTTAAAGTGTACTGCGTATGCGTGTGCTGCGCCTGTAAATTGCGTCGTGCCATGTATGCAATATGTGTTAAGTTGCGCCTGTAAACTGTGTTGTGCCATGTACAGAATGTGTGGATGCTGCGCCTATAAACTAAGTCTTGGAATCAGAGACCCATATTCATGACATGTTCTGCTTCTCAATGTGTAGTTGCTGGTATAGCGCGTATGTATATGATTGTATGAGTCATGCCTTGTGGAAACAGCACTGTAATAAACAAACAGTTAAACAATGCACGTATGTTGTGTGTCTTGCTTTGTCACGGCAACGACTGGAAGGACACTGGAAGGTAGGTGAGAAAGGTAGGTGTGGAGGGTGGTAGACGGGGGTTAGACTTAGACATAGACACTGGGGGTTAGATTAGACTGAGACTTAGATGGGGTTAGACTTAGACTTAGACACTGGGGGTTAGACTTAGACACTGGGCATTAGACTTAGACACTGGGGGTTAGACTTAGACTTAGACACTAAGGGTTAGACTTAGACTGAGACTTAGATGGGGGTTAGACTTAGACTTAGACACTGGGGGTTAGACTTAGACACTGGGGGTTAGACTTAGACTTAGACTTAGATGGGGGTTAGACTTAGACTTAGACACTGGGGGTTAGACTTAGACTTAGACACTAAGGGTTAGACTTAGACACTGGGGGTTAGACTTAGACTTAGACACTGGGGGTTAGACTTAGACACTGGGGGTTAGACTTAGACACTGGGGGTTAGACTTAGACACTGGGGGTTAGACTTAGACTTAGACACTGGGGGTTAGACTTAGACTTAGACACTGGGGGTTAGACTTAGACTTAGACACTGGGGGTTAGACTTAGACACTGGGGGTTAGACTTAGACTTAGACTTAGATGGGGGTTAGACTTAGACACTGGGGGTTAGACTTAGACTTAGACACTAAGGATTAGACTTAGACACTGGGGGTTAGACTTAGACTTAGACACTGGGGGTTAGACTTAGACTTAGACACTGGGGGTTAGACTTAGACTTAGACTTAGACTTAAGGGTTAGACTTAGACTTAGACACTGGGGGTTAGACTTAGACACTGGGGGTTAGACTTAGACTTAGACTTAGACACTGGGGGTTAGACTTAGACTTAGACACTGGGGGTTAGACTTAGACTGAGACTTAGATGGGGGTTAGACTTAGACTTAGACACTGGGGGTTAGACTTAGACACTGGGGGTTAGACTTAGACTTAGACACTGGGGGTTAGACTTAGACTTAGACACTGGGGGTTAGACTTAGACACTGGGGGTTAGACTTAGACTTAGACACTGGGGGTTAGACTTAGACTTAGACACTGGGGGTTAGACTTAGACTTAGACACTGGGGGTTAGACTTAGACACTGGGGGTTAGACTTAGACTTAGACACTGGGGGATTAGACTTAGACTTAGACACTGGGGGTTAGACTTAGACTTAGACACTAAGGGGTTAGACTTAGACACTGGGGGTTAGACTTAGACTTAGACACTGGGGGTTAGACTTAGACACTGGGGGTTAGACTTAGACTTAGACACTGGGGGTTAGACTTAGACTTAGACACTGGGGGTTAGACTTAGACTTAGACACTGGGGGTTAGACTTAGACTTAGACACTAAGGATTAGACTTAGACACTGGGGGTTAGACTTAGACTTAGACACTGGGGGTTAGACTTAGACTTAGACTTAGACACTGGGGGTTAGACTTAGACTTAGACACTGGGGGTTAGACTTAGACTTAGACACTGGGGGTTAGACTTAGACTTAGACACTGGGGGTTAGACTTAGACTTAGACACTAAGGGTTAGACTTAGACACTGGGGGTTAGACTTAGACTTAGACACTGGGGGTTAGACTTAGACTTAGACACTGGGGGTTAGACTTAGACTTAGACACTGGGGGTTAGACTTAGACTTAGACACTGGGGGTTAGACTTAGACTTAGACACTGGGGGTTAGGCTTTAGGCTTTAGGCTTTAGGCTTTAGGCTTTAGGCTTTAGGCTTTAGGCTTTAGGCTTTAGGCTTTAGGCTTAGGCTTTAGGGTTAGGGTTAGGGTTAGGGTTAGGGTTAGGGTTAGGGTTAGGGTTAGGGTTAGGGTTAGGGTTAGGGTTAGGGTTAGGGTTAGGGTTAGGGTTAGGGTTAGGGTTAGGGTTAGGGTTAGGGTTAGGGTTAGGGTTAGGGTTAGGGTTAGGGTTAGGGTTAGGGTTAGGGTTAGGGTTAGGGTTAGGGTTAGGGTTAGGGTTAGGGTTAGGGTTAGGGTTAGGGTTAGGGTTAGGGTTAGGGTTAGGGTTAGGGTTAGGGTTAGGGTTAGGGTTAGGGTTAGGGTTAGGGTTAGGGTTAGGGTTAGGGTTAGGGTTAGGGTTAGGGTTAGGGTTAGGGTTAGGGTTAGGGTTAGGGTTAGGGTTAGGGTTAGGGTTAGGGTTAGGGTTAGGGTTAGGGTTAGGGTTAGGGTTAGGGTTAGGGTTAGGGTTAGGGTTAGGGTTAGGGTTAGGGTTAGGGTTAGGGTTAGGGTTAGGGTTAGGGTTAGGGTTAGGGTTAGGGTTAGGGTTAGGGTTAGGGTTAGGGTTAGGGTTAGGGTTAGGGTTAGGGTTAGGGTTAGGGTTAGGGTTAGGGTTAGGGTTAGGGTTAGGGTTAGGGTTAGGGTTAGGGTTAGGGTTAGGGTTAGGGTTAGGGTTAGGGTTAGGGTTAGGGTTAGGGTTAGGGTTAGGGTTAGGGTTAGGGTTAGGGTTAGGGTTAGGGTTAGGGTTAGGGTTAGGGTTAGGGTTAGGGTTAGGGTTAGGGTTAGGGTTAGGGTTAGGGTTAGGGTTAGGGTTAGGGTTAGGGTTAGGGTTAGGGTTAGGGTTAGGGTTAGGGTTAGGGTTAGGGTTAGGGTTAGGGTTAGGGTTAGGGTTAGGGTTAGGGTTAGGGTTAGGGTTAGGGTTAGGGTTAGGGTTAGGGTTAGGGTTAGGGTTAGGGTTAGGGTTAGGGTTAGGGTTAGGGTTAGGGTTAGGGTTAGGGTTAGGGTTAGGGTTAGGGTTAGGGTTAGGGTTAGGGTTAGGGTTAGGGTTAGGGTTAGGGTTAGGGTTAGGGTTAGGGTTAGGGTTAGGGTTAGGGTTAGGGTTAGGGTTAGGGTTAGGGTTAGGGTTAGGGTTAGGGTTAGGGTTAGGGTTAGGGTTAGGGTTAGGGTTAGGGTTAGGGTTAGGGTTAGGGTTAGGGTTAGGGTTAGGGTTAGGGTTAGGGTTAGGGTTAGGGTTAGGGTTAGGGTTAGGGTTAGGGTTAGGGTTAGGGTTAGGGTTAGGGTTAGGGTTAGGGTTAGGGTTAGGGTTAGGGTTAGGGTTAGGGTTAGGGTTAGGGTTAGGGTTAGGGTTAGGGTTAGGGTTAGGGTTAGGGTTAGGGTTAGGGTTAGGGTTAGGGTTAGGGTTAGGGTTAGGGTTAGGGTTAGGGTTAGGGTTAGGGTTAGGGTTAGGGTTAGGGTTAGGGTTAGGGTTAGGGTTAGGGTTAGGGTTAGGGTTAGGGTTAGGGTTAGGGTTAGGGTTAGGGTTAGGGTTAGGGTTAGGGTTAGGGTTAGGGTTAGGGTTAGGGTTAGGGTTAGGGTTAGGGTTAGGGTTAGGGTTAGGGTTAGGGTTAGGGTTAGGGTTAGGGTTAGGGTTAGGGTTAGGGTTAGGGTTAGGGTTAGGGTTAGGGTTAGG